AATTACCAGTTTGCATTAAATTTTTATTTCTATTTCAATCTATTGTACGTAGTCAAATTTATAGTTTGTTATTCATAAAAAAAAAAATTACTGAATAATTCTTAACAATGCAGATCACGCAACATCATTCCTGTAATTCATATACTGCAAGTTACATGATTTTATAAACGCGAAAACAGCAGTCTAATTATTATTCATAGGAATATTTTCAGCGCGAAATTTCGTAAACCGAAACTGACACACAATTATATGGTACAAAATTTAATGAATGAAAAAAGGTATCAAATTTACATTATCATTGAAATATTAAATACAAATACTACAGTGTACACCCTCTTCCGCAGGGAAGACTGAAAAAGAATGTAAATTGCAATTTTTTAAAGATACTTAAACGATGGTTCCCTACGAAAATATTATCATTGACTTTTAGGGAACTCAACCGGGGAATAAATTGTTTCGTCCCTGAATCTGAGGTAAATACTCAACAACTTCGCACGGTTCTTTATCGTACCGTAATAGAATAAAGAACCGACGCAATGGAACTTCTCACTTTTTGCATAATTGACGTATCCTCGGGAGCTCGCCGTTGAATTATTTTGCTTGGGGTAATGCGATTTAAATACGGGGGACCGGGAAGACGTTGTAACGTTTCCATAAAGCTCCGCCGGGGATGTAAATTCCTCCGCGTCTTTGCATCTTTCTTGGCGTAAATTTTTACAACTTCGAAATAAAAGAAGAAAAGGGTGGTTGGAAAATTGTGCGAAACGTCAGCAGCGTTTTACGATTAATGTTCTTTTCTTCCGTGTAATACTTGATAGAAACCGGAGAATTTCGTGAAGCAGCTTTAAAATTTTCTGTTTAGAGAAACAAACCCACGGTGTAAGCAGTGGAGACTCTATTGTCTTCTGACGAAAGGGGAGAAAAAATCGTTTTGTCTCTGGGGATTCTTCAGATAGGGTTCCACGTGTATTCCTAACCTCTTCGTGAACTTTATACCCTTCTTCTTGGAACGATAAAAAATTTTAAACATTTTACACAATGTTACCTAAAATATGCAAATATTAATACAATTATGTATATGTACATTTCTGATCTTTTAATTAAGAGAAGCTCATATTGCACCTAACTGCACATTATGTTATATCATTTTTATTTCGTGCAATATGTTAGACAAGTTTACATTGCACACAACTGTACATTATATCACATCATTTTTATTTTGTGCAATATATTAGACAAGTTTATCTTGCACACAATTGTATAGTATATCATATCATTTTTATTTTGTGTAATATGTTAGACAAGTTCATATTGCACCCAACTGTACATTATATCACATCATTATTATTTTGTGCAATATATTAGACAAGTTTACATTGCACACAACTGTACATTATATCATATCATTTTTATTTTGCACAATATGTTAAACAATTTTATATTGCATCCAACTGTACATTATATCACAACATTTTTATTTCGTTTAATATATTAGACAAGTTGACATTGCACCCAACTGTACATTATATCATATCATTTTTATTTTGCACAATATGTTAAACAATTTTATATTGCATCCAACTGTACATTATATCACAACATTTTTATTTCGTTTAATATATTAGACAAGTTGACATTGCACCCAACTGTACATTATATCATATCATTTTTATTTTGCACAATATGTTAAACAATTTTATATTGCATCCAACTGTACATTATATCACAACATTTTTATTTCGTTTAATATATTAGACAAGTTGACATTGCACCCAACTGTACATTATATCATATCATTTTTATTTTGCACAATATGTTAAACAATTTTATATTGCATCCAACTGTACATTATATCACAACATTTTTATTTCGTTTAATATATTAGACAAGTTGACATTGCACCCAACTGTACATTATATCATATCATTTTTATTTTGCACAATATGTTAAACAATTTTATATTGCATCCAACTGTACATTATATCACAACATTTTTATTTCGTTTAATATATTAGACAAGTTGACATTGCACCCAACTGTACATTATATCATATCATTTTTATTTTGTGTAATATATTAAACAATTTTATATTGCATCCAACTGTACATTATATCACATCATTATTATTTTTTGCAATATGTTAGACAAGTTTACATTGCACCCTACTGTACATTATATCATATCATTTTTATTTTGTGTAATATATTAAACAATTTTATATTGCATCCAACTGTACATTATATCACATCATTATTATTTTTTGCAATATGTTAGACAAGTTTACATTGCACCCTACTGTACATTATATCATATCATTTTTATTTTGTGTAATATATTAAACAATTTTATATTGCACCCAACTGTACATTATATCACATCATTATTATTTTTTGCAATATGTTAGACAAGTTTACATTGCACCCTACTGTACATTATATCATATCATTTTTATTTTGTGTAATATATTAAACAATTTTATATTGCACCCAACTGTACATTATATCACATCATTATTATTTTTTGCAATATGTTAGACAAGTTTACATTGCACCCTACTGTACATTATATCATATCATTTTTATTTTGTGTAATATATTAAACAATTTTATATTGCATCCAATTGTACATTATATCACATCATTTTTATTTTGTACAATACGTTAAACAATTTTATATTGCACCCAACTGTACATTATATAACATCATTTTTATTTCGTACAATAAATCATGTATTAACAAAAAGGACAAGTGCTTTGTACATAAAAAAAATTCAATTTTTGAAGCACTCAAAAAGATACATTAATAATAATTCTAAAGATTCACACTTTAGTTGCTGCAACAAAGTTTTTCTTCGTATAAATTTGCAAGAAAATCCGTCGAAAATTTCTCGTTTCTTCATCGTCCTTTGTCTGGGGAGTATCAGAAAATTCGTTTCCTGCGAGCATCCTTTCTGAAGGATCGTCATTTCCTGGCGTCCCGTAAAACATCCGCTTAACGAGCGAACAATATTCATTAATACAAGCTGAAATTGATAAAAGTGATGGAAAATCGTTACCAAGCGGTAACCAGGTGTTGTTTCAAGCTCGTTTTCGTGGAAGTCAAAAGATTTTCGACATTTCGAGCGATGGAGATGTCGCTCGCGAATTATGGCCGCGTCGCGACGACTCGCTCGTATTTATCACGAAGAGTAAAACTGACAGCAGTCCATTTCCTGTTCGTCCTGCCTGTCTGGCTGAACATAATATCTCCTGACGAAACAACGTGGACGCCGTTTGTTTGGGAAACAATGGACCGAAACAATACCCAATCCCTCCTCGGTGCACGCGGACAGACCGCCATTCTGATTTTCCACGGACTGTTACACTCTTCGCTCTTTCTATCGTTACGGAATCTTTCTAGAACTTCGAAGACTTCGAATTCGCGGGAAGAAATGAAAAAACAGATGTCTTCTTTCGCGACTCTTCGGTTGCATTCGAGTTGCATCGCGACGCCCGATTCTTTCCCGGCAAAGAAAACGTCATCGTCAGAATGTTCGCAACTCGAGAATACTGGAAAGGAAGACAATGGAACCTCTCCCTTCTTTTTACACAAATTGCTCCCTTATATTTTACCCTTTGCATAAAGAGTGGAAAACGGTTCCTTCGTGTTCTTCCGATGTTAGTGAAATGAAATACTTAGCTGTTTCTTGAAGTAGATCCATAAAACTTTTCTTGTGATAGTACAGGTGTAGTTGTGACCTTTGAATGGGTCAGCTACTCTTATATCGTTGACGTACCTAACATGACTTACCTAAAAAAAAAATGGCGGAATAGGTAAATGAGAACTAACCACCCCTTCTGAGTCATAAAGTTAAATAACAAATCTTCCTAAATTCTTGAAGTACAGATTTTCAAACTCCAAGTCCCTACAATCCTCAAGCTCTGGAATCCTAATGTCTCTTTTCCCACGCGAATTTAGCAGAACGCGATAATTCGCCGTGAAATAACAAACGCGTTCAGTCCCCCAAGTTCCGAGAGCATAACTGCACTCAATTCGATTCGTCGAAGAAATTATAACTATATCAATCACGAGGAACTGTCGGATCTCGGGAATGCTCCCTTACTAATTACTAATTGTTCTCGTAACGATTGTTCATACAAACCGTGCACGAAGTTTAATTGAAATACCTACGATCGTAGATTCTCATTAACGATTTCTCGGGGATTCCTCGAGAATTCCTTCCTAAGACATTCGAGAGAAACCGAACGTGCACTTGACAGAAATTAGTAATCCTTAATGGATGACGCGATGCAAGCCTGTTCACCTCCCTCTAGCCCCGTCATAGACGATGTCTGCTTGGTCTTAGACTTAACAACGCCGGATATTCAATTAATTTCGGAAGACAATGGTAGCTCGCTTCCACTTCGACGATTTGTACATACCTACATCTTTTGTGCGTTCGATGATTACAAGGAACACAGCCACGCATTGTGTTCTACGATTCGAACATTTTAATGCTGTGCCGGTATCGTGGCGATTTTAGCGGAATTACGAGAAGGTTTTAACCGTGAGATACGAGTTACGAGGATATTAACTCTTCTGTTGGTAAATTGTGCCATTCTTGTGTTTTAGTAGAGGAGGAAATAAACAATTCAATTGGTATCATCTTCTAATTCAAATTCAATCACACATGACAGTATATAAGACAGTATATGACGGTACATAAGATAGCACTCAGACTACTTGAACAGAAAGAAACATGCATTTGTATGACGATCTACTGTGTAGCCAGTACTAGTCATATAAGTAATTGATCATACAACTAATCACTACTAATCATCACTACTTAATTTTCAAAAGTCACTCATGTTTCAATGTTTCAATATCTTCAACATTTCAGTACTGTCAATATTATCGACAACTTTGATATTTCACCACATATTATCATTAAATATTGAGAACCCTAAAATATTGATTGCCCGAAGTGTACCCTAATATCCTAACATCTGATTTTCTTCAGTGACCATCCTCGGAGCCCAGCATGACGACGACGACGGGCGACCCATCGACCCTGAAGAGTCCAGCCTCCCTTTCCGGCGGCGATCTGGTGTCTCGTCTGTTGGCCGCCACACCTCCGTACCTGTACAACATGCCCTTGACGCCGCACAGTTTCTTCTTCAGCGAGATGCTGCGTTCGTTCGTGCAAGCGAAGACGGAGGCGTCGTCGACGAGCAACGTCGCGAACGCTCCGAGACGTCGTAAAAGATCCTGGAGAGACGCTCGAGATCGTCCGTTGGAGTTAACCACGAAGGAGAGGCAACACCATCATCACCACCATCACCATCATCATCCTCAGCAACCGCAACCGGAGAAATATTTTCACACGCAGCAGCAGCAGCAACAGCAGCAACCCGAGACGCGACTGGAGAGCAGGAGCAAGCAGAGCGACGGGTACGACTCGGAGAGCAAAGTGGGTAGCTTTGAGCAGAAGCCTACGTTCGCGACGGATATCTTGAAGCCGGTGGACGAGAACAAGTCCGACTTCTGCAAGCAGAGCAAGTTCTTCGACGAGAGACCGAGGCACTTCGAGCAAGCTCAACCACCCGAAAACCTGTTCCCCGGTGATCTCCAGAAAGTGAAACCCGAAGAATCGCACTCGTCCGATCGCAAGAACTGCAATTACAACGACAGGAGTCCGTACGACGAGCGTACCAAGAGCACGGTAGGCAATCAGGAGCTGCCTCTGTTGCCGGATCAAAAGAAACTCGATTTCTCCAGGAACTTTCTACCCGGCCTACCAGGAAGAGGCTGCGACATGCTTCCGGCCGTGAAAGGTTTCGGTCTACCCGGGAACGTGACGAACCCAGAATTTCTACCCAGTCCATTATGGTACCCGCCTTACCCGATGCCTCAATCGTACCCCGGCATCGATCCCCTGCACTTCTTCATCGACCTCCGCGTCTCCGGACACATCTGGGATCGCAAACTCAGCGAGAGGCAGCTACCCTTCAAAGGCAAACACTGTTCCGCGTTCAGCGTGCCGCAGTCCAAAGAGTACAACAGCAATAGACCGTTGAATTTGACGAGGGACGAAGCCACCACGTCCAGGAGTAGCGAGGATAATCCTCGTGGCACCAATTACATACTGAGACAGCTGACCAGGACGTATAGAGATATCGGACAGGCACGGAAATCCAGGAGCGAGACGTCCATTTCCGGGGAGAGCGAAGACAGTTCCAAGGATGTTGATAATAGTGGGTGTCTTGGTTAGTTTTATCGTTCACGGTTTTATGGGTCATGGGTTAAGGTTCGATGGGCAAAGGGATATATTTCTTTTATCCAAGTTAGGTTAGGTTTCAAGAAAGAAGGAGTTATACTGGTGGTGATGGGATTTGTAAACTTTTTAATTCTGAAGGTTTCACATATTTAAATTCCTTGTTATTTCATCGTCTAAATTTACAAGTCTTCTAATTCTCAAATTCCTGAATTCGTAAATTTTCAAATTATCAAATGTTCAACTTCTCAAACGTGTAACTTCTCATATTCCCAAATTTCTAAATATCACACAGTATGTCTCTCAAAGTTAAAGCATTGATCGTCTTTGATAAATTAATCATCCAACATTAATCACATCGTACTAATGTAAAAATTTTGTTCAAGCAGACGAGAGATCGCCAAAGCCAGAAGAGGCAGCAGCGTCCACGACTCCAGAAGAGGAGAGGAAAGACCTCCGAGCACTGATCGGGCTGGAATTGGTGGTGGATTACGTGAAGGAGCCGAAGGGAGACCCATCGAACGAGCAGACTTCGCAAGTAACCGAATAACTCGTGGAACTCGTACGATTCTCTTTTCTTCTCGACTGTATAAATAGATGTAGTTCCGACACTTACGATCGCATCCTGATTCTCGTTTGGACTACGACGTTTACGATAATATAGAAAGCTCTCAACTTTTCGAATCTTTCAGAAATAATCGAACCTAACGTTCCTTTTGATCGAACATTATTTTTATTTGACCGGAGTGGACAAAGGTGTCTAGCGATATATCTTCGCATTCTTTTATTGTTACGATATGTTTTATTTTGAGAAGATAATGATGTTTTGAAACGTATCTTTGTCTCGGTTGATATATCTCTGGTTGCAGAAATAGAATGTATATAAAGATAAAAATCTTTTGCTTCAAATTTTTCACGACACCTTTGTTCCAGTCTTCTTCGTTCAAAGAAATTTCACAATTTTAGAAATCTGAAATCAGCCTCGCACCTACTATCCGTCGTAAACGATACGCGACTAATCCGCCAGATTAAATTCACGATCCGCTGTTTTATAACAGGAAACTCACGTTTTGATATCGCACTCTTGAGTTTGTAATTATTCGAAGACTCGTCCTATCTCGGGAGTCACTTTTTAGCGCGGAGGAAGATCTTAGAGATCCTCTCGAAAGATCCGCTCTGAATTCGACTGTATGTGATATATTCTGTACATATTATAGTAGCGTTCTATTGTATCTATATGTACCGATAGAAAATATTCGACGTGTATATTAAACGTAATAAAAAGCAATGTGATTCAACCACGAATACTAGTTCGCATTCTTTCGACCGTTCTCATGATATACTAACTTCCATCGAGAGATATTTATCGCCCTGATACGAGACGTTTATTATAAAAATGGGACGATCCATCTCTAAATTTCATTTACTATACTTTTCAGTCGAAACTTACGAAATATGGGAGATCTGATTCTCTTAAAAAGTTCTCGTTATGAACGGCCATAAAACTCTTTCGTCAATATATTTTCAGTGGGTTCATTAATATTTACTGGATAATTTAATTTGTTACTCTTCCTAGCTCGTGAATTCTATTTTTGTTGAATAACTCAAACTGAATTACTCAACTTACATGTTCGAAAAACTAATAGTTCTTTAAATGATTTTTCTCTCCACTTAATTTCTCCATAATATTTCTCCCACTCAGAAAAATTGAAAACATCGATACGTTCGATCGAAGCTCAAACGATGGAAGAAAACTGCTCCACGTTCGAGTCGCGATTACGAGGCAGATCGAGTACACAAACTCCGCGTCCGCGGTCCAGAAACGGAGGGTTGAAATGCTTTCTGCACTCGTACAGAAAGGGTGAAAAAGAAAGCAGAAGGGTAGCGTGGTCCGCGCTTTTTTCACCTTTCTGAATGCAGCAGCTCGTTATAATCAGGAGAACCCTTCAAGAAGTGCACACACGAAATGATCGTCATATTCAGCCGTGCATAGGCCGCAGCTTTTCTCTATCGGTCTCTCGACGTTATTTGACTAATATACATCGATCTCGTTCGTTGATCGAGACTACTGTTTCGTCTCTTTCTACCCCGTATCGTCGACACGGCTCTCTTTGATGGAGCACAATTAGGGGAACCAAGTCCCTGATAGTACGCGCAGGATGACAGGAGATAGACGATTTTTGGGGACGAGGGCAAATCTGACGGCAGATATCGATCTGTCGACTCATTTGCAAAGGTTCAATCATTGGCGTAACTTCAATTTTTGTCTGAGTATTCGTTACAACACAGGGTGACTCGCTTACTGGCTGGAAATTTAGAAATTTTAGCATATGATGTCGACGTTTGAACGTTAACGAGGATTTAGAAATGTGGAAGTTTGGACATTTTCGAGTTACAGAATGTAGGAGTTTGAGCACTTAACGATTAAAAAAATTGAGAGTCTAGAAAGGAAGTTTGAAAGTTTGGAGTTAGAACATGTAGAAAGATCACCTGCAAATTTAGGAATTTAAGAATTTGCAAATGTGGAAGTTTGGTCATTTTCGAGTTACAGAATGTAGGAGTTTGGACACTTAACGATTAAAAAAATTGAGAATCTAGAAAGGAAGTTTGAAAGTTTGGAGATAGAACATGTAGATCACCTTATTTAGGAATTTAAGAATTTGCAAATGTGGAAGTTTAAAGATTTCAACGCTAGGAAATATAAGAAGGAAACTTGGAAATCTTCAAACGCCTGACATCAGTTAAATGAGAACTACCCCTTTGAACCAGCACTACCCCAAACGGGTTACGCCAATGTATTCAACCTAAAAGTTCGATGGGATATTTGAACGCGATTAGATAACCCGAGGTCATGATCAACGTGTTAAAATATTTGCTATTAGCTGACAAAGTAATTAGAGTCTCTTATCTTTTGCGTTTATTCTCAGTGAGATTTTTCGATAATTGTTATCGTGCATGGACCAAATATAGCGAAGCTCAGTAACAAAACAAATACATCAAGATTACTCGTGTCAATAACAAAAGATATTAAAATTTATACCAGAATACAATGATATTTCCCTGCTGCTCGCTATATTTAATCCATTAATTTTTATTACAAATTTATTCAAACAGTGTCATGGTTCGCGATAACACGAAGCTCCAAGATCACTTCACCCTTGTTGTTCCCATCGATTTTCACCGATTTGCGGCTCGACTCTGGTACAACGATGACATTGTCCAATCCCTTAACAGGTGCTTCGACTAATTTGTAGCGCGTGATTGGTAACTCCTCTTTGTTCACCTCGACGAACGGCTTTTCCGGCGCCATGACTGTGTACACCTAATTTGGACATTAATACGACAGTTATAGTATCATCACAATTTATGGGGACCTGATATTTGTTCAAAGGAAATTTTGCAATTAACCGACGCGCAATTTGTACGAGTTTAATTAATAATCAGAGAATGGATATCGGTTCATTATTCGTAGTGTGCTGAACTTTTCATCGTTTTAAGATAATTTTCTTTATCAGTGATTTGATGGAACGTTTTTAATCAGAATATTTGACAAGCCGTTTATTATTATAAGAAGAACACTTAGCAAAATATTATAGGTTTTACTCGGGGGTGGGTGAGTGATTGGTGGTACGTTGCGAATTTGGGGATTTGGCGATTTGGGGATTTGGGGATTTGGGAATTGGAGAACTTGGGGATTTGGAGAGATGGAAACTTGGGAATTTGGGAGATTGAGAATTTGGGGGAGTGAGAATTTGAGAGC